AAACCTAGCTGATCATGTATTGAGTAACTTTAAATATTATCTATCAGGTCCTTGCCTTACTTTGTCACTTTTCTAATATGGCTGATCTATTTTAAATCTATGACAATGCTTCTTGTTGAAAAACACTCTAATACTCAGAAAAGCTTAAATTAAAACAGCTGTGCTCCAGGGCAGTGACAGAATCAAAACTTCTACATAGTCACACACAAAAAAGGAAAAAAAAAATCTTTTCATTGGAAAATTAAAATATTCAGACAATACGTGATAAGTAAAAATGAAAGAATTATAAAAAAAGAAATAAAAATAGAATTATTAGCAAACATATATCTTTTATCCTTGGCTTACTCTTGAGCAGAATCTTAACCCATATTTGCTAACGGATACCAATGGAGTTACCAAATGATCTTATATAAGGAGCCAAGACCACACTGTAGTTCTGCAAGAGAAAACATAGAAAGAGATAAGGTTCTAAGAATGCCACATCTAAAAAAAATAAGAAAATACAACTGGTTTATATATTTAGAAAAGTGGCATAAGAATCAGCCATGAATGAGTTTGTGTCATGTGAGACAACAGCTACAAGAGAGATGGCAGCAAAGCAGCTGGATTGCTGCTTGCACTGTTCTGTGTTTATTAAACACTTCCCAGAATATTTCGTTTCTGCTGCTGCTGCCTGCAAGCAGGATTTCCACAAAACTTAGAAAGACTAACAGCTTGTGCAGGTATTTGAAAATATGGGATATATAACCTTAGCTCCAAGTAATGGAAACTTCTATCTCCTGAGACTCCTAAAATCCTGTGCTACTAAAAGCACAGTCAATCCACTCTCGCATCTTCTTTAGTCTCCTGAGGATCAAATATTCTGCCTTCATAAGAATGCATGTACAAATTCATCATTAATGATTAAGTCTTCAACTGACACTAATTAGTTTCAACTATCTGTGTGCTCAGCAGGCCCGACCTACTTCACAGTTCTGCTTCATTAGTACTGGCAGCTTAAAACAACATCAATAAAAATTATATTGACCAACAGTGACCAGCCCCTCAGTGCAGGAACCACTGAAGGCAGCAAGAGCCTCCCCACTGATTTTAATAAGAACCACAGTAAAGCCCAAAGGCACAGAGAGAGGCAATGCAGTGGCAAAAGTCATCTCCCACCAGCAGCAAGTGACAAAAGCAACAGCAAAAGGGAAAACCAAACCTGCAGTCCATTTATTTAGCACAGGCTTGTGATGCTGTGCTGTGAAATGCCAACACCACAGAGGGAGCTCAGACTTAAGCACAGAAGCAATTTGCAAGCTTTGTACTTCAAGGATATCAATTTAGCCAGTCACTGGGGAGCAGCAGTGAACCTCAGGATAAATTTGGAGCTGTGCAGAACAACATTTGGACAAACAGAAGGGAAAGGCAGAGTGCTTGGCCATGACAAGCAGTGCCCAAAGAAACTTGGCAAAGGCACACACTCAGCAGGGTGGCACCGAATGCACAGCTCCACATCTTCACGTGGTGGAACCACACAGAGTAAATTAAGCCACAGCTTTAAGCACCTTGGGCATGCCTTGGGAAACTTTCAATGCAAACCAGCTTCCATATGCAGAAGCTGTTATCCTCACCTGACACCTTTAAGTTTAAAAACACATAAATATTTAAGATTACATTAGAAGCTAAAGCTAGGCCGCAGCTGGAATAGTCACAGGGATTTTATACCAGACATGTTTTTTCCCACTAGAAGGTTGTATACCTCTTCTATCAGGAATCAGATTTATTACTTGTGGTGGGTGTGTTGCACACATATAACAAAGTCTTCCAATGGCACTTTGACAGATGCTGAAGTTCTCTTAGATATCTAAACTACCTTTTTAAGCAAGACAGACTTAAAACCTGTAGTAACAAAATCGTTAGTCTTAGCACACTGGAAGAAAGAAATTCCATTTGTTTAGAACATATAAGGAACCTAAAAGCTTTCAGTTCTGTATTTGATGCTTTTGCAAGGAAAAGAAAACCCAAACAAAACAAAAAAACCAACATCCCACATACACAGGCACACACAAAACCCCCAAAACAAACAAATAAACCAACCACCAGAGCTCAAGCAGAAGAAAAAGAGCATTTTCTGCTAGAAGGGAAATAAGAGCAAAATGTGCCACAGCAATTCTATTTGAAGTGATTAAAAAAAATAAAAGCAAAAGCTCCCTTGTCACAGTGCTGGTGACAATGGCTTGCTAGGTTACAGCAGTAAAGAATCCAGGGGAAAGAGCCACAGAAGACCAAAAAACCAGCAAAACAAGAAACATTTTATATCCCCAAGAAGCCACCAAGGCATTACCCAGCCATGTGAATCTGATGTCCTCTGTGACTACCACAAAATTTGGCGAGTCCTCCTCCACAGCAGCACCAGTATTTGATGAACCAGCCCCTTGCTCCTGTTGAAGATCCTCCTGAACAGCATTTGCCAGATTCCTGCGCTCACTCCAGAAGAGTGCAGAGGTCTTGGCCATCAAGTACTCCCTTAGGGCCCTTGAAATCAGAACAAACCTTCCCATTAAAGTGTTTGGATTCTGTTTACTAACTTCAGGAACTCTTCAGGAGAACATTTTCTGCTGATCTTATTCCGCATTCCCACTCTCCAAACAATCCCATCACTTACACTGCCACACCTCTTTGTGTCATTGTGGAGCAAAAAACATGGGTTAACAACAATGCTGATAAAAAACAGCTTTTCCCTTGAACAGAATAATTCCCCTAACTTGTGTTTTCACAAGTGAGGAGGCTAAGAGCTAGGGCCATGGAGATACAACATGGCAGGGGCTAAACTTGCCCTGTCTGCTTGTCAAACTAGGTTTCAGTGAATGTGTATGACTTCTTCAAATCATGAAACAGATCAGATATTTTCTGTACTGTGCTCTGCAAATGAAACTTACTTCATTTTATTTAATTTGTATAAATGAGTACATTGGAAAGATCAGATCCTCAGCAGGGATATAACAAAAGTAATCAGCTTTTGTCTGGCCTCTCTGGAATTAGAGATTTGCAGCAACTGAGAAGCTCCTCTGAGAAGACAGACTGTGCTGACACTAAACGACCCAAAAGGCCATTATCAAACAATCACAGGGTTTATATTAGTTCAGAGGAAGATGTCTAACTTCTTTGACTTCTCTATAGATTTAAGTGAACTCTCTTCTCATTCAAACAAAAAATTTATTACAGGAGATGCCCAGGGAGATTTTTCAGCTCACTTTCTAACTTTGGTGCAACGCAAAATTCATTTACCAATGAAGGTGCTGCAGGGAAACTGGAACAGATGGCCAGTCTGCAGGACCCCAGGAAGGCATGACACACTTAAAGGGCTCATTTGTTAAAGCCACTTGGAAAAGTACCCCGTCTGCAGGAAACTAATAGGCCAGTGAGAATTTATTTTCATGATAAAATGCTTTTAAACTGTATGTCCTTGTCTAGTTTTCTTTCAGGGATGGATTTCTGTAAGAGTCAGACTGACCATAATAGAACAGCCATAACAAAGCAAGACTGGCTGTTCTGGGCAGATAATAGTAAATACTGTGAGTCATCCTCCCCAGAACTGGTATGTGAAGCTCAGAGTTCTTTCTCTGTCATTATTCTCACGAAGAGGCACACATCCCTAACTTGTGAATGCAGGAAATACCCAAACACTATCCATAGACTCTTTTATTACCATGGAATACATTCCAGCTGAGTTTGCATGGTTGTCAGTTAAAAACATTAGCATTTTCCCTGGAACGTGAAAATATCTCATCTGAGATCATGGACATAAAAACACAAATCTGGAGCCTCATTATGACATCTTAATCCCTTTCCACAACACAAAGATCCCTCACATAACTTAAAAATGTGATCATGATAGGAGTCAGGACTGCATTTTCTGGGGTAGAAAAGAATGGCAAAGAAAAGGGGAGCTCTTCATGGTTTATCAAAATTCACATTGCTAGCTTTATTTCATCAATTAATAAAAACATATGCAGCTCACTGGGTAAGACCTAACTCAGAGAAAACCAATTAAAATTGAAAATTTCCCTTAACAAGAGAATGGTCATCAGCTAAGAAACACTACAGCAGTGTCCCCACTGTGTAGGGTCCTCCACTGCCAGAGGATCAGCTTGCACCCCAAGCCATCACTTTGAGGGCTGACAGAGCAGTTTAAACACCTGAACATTTCATTTCCAAAAATAGGCTTCTCAACCTTTTTTCAAACTGTGAAATGGCTCAGCTATTTCTAAATGCCACTGAATCAAATGCAGTGACATGTGTGGAGAGACACTGTGACAGTAACCTTCACCATCTCCGAGTGTGTTTGGCTTTTCTTTTTTCCTCTCAACAAGGCTTAATCTCACTGTCTGGCTGAACATTAATCCTCTTTCACCAAGTCCCAAATTAATGCTTGCTGCATTAAGATACTGCAAATCCTCAAGGTATAAATTACACCCAGTTCAGTATAAAAGGAAAGCACAGGGCTTTCTTCTCACTACAGCTGGTACTTCCAGGCAGGCAAGTAGAATACAGGTAAGTTTCCATCAGATCCTGATGTAGAAATCTTTTTTTTTTTTTCATATTGCAAACTCTTAAAGTAATTAATTGCTTCTGAAAATACATTATACTTTGCTCTTTTCTCTCTCTTGTTTATTTTTCTTTGTCCTTACAGACAAGACACATTCTCTCTCTAGAAACTTAGATACAAATGTTTCATTGGAAGTGGTGTGGTATTCTGCTATTATTATAATTTTGCAGAGATTGCTGACATGCCACTTCCATTGCTTAGGAAAATTAAACTCCTTGAGCAGTAAACAGAAGGAAGATCTATCTCATGTCTGTTTTCACTGCTGATTCTAAACCAGTTATGATGGTGCTGTTATAGAACCAGTTGAGGATAAAGCAGAGACTCCATTTCTCCCTGCTTCTCTATTTCCTGTTGAAAATAACCATATGTGTTGCTCCTGCTGAGATATATTTTTTGCTTTACAGACAGCATGAAGACACTTAATTGCTATGTGCTGTTCCTTTGCTGGAAAGCAATTTGCTGCAACAGCTGCCAGCTCACCAATATCACCATAGCTGTGGAAAGAGAAGAATGTGAATTCTGTATTACAGTGAATGCCACGTGGTGCTCAGGATACTGCTTCACCAGGGTGAGACTCTTCATTTCAGGCACCAGAATTTAATATTTCAAGTGATGGATGGATAGATAGCCCATAGCAAACCACAGACAGTATGAGCCTTGTGATAAACAGGCTGAATAACTGAGTAACACAAGAGTAGGTTCACAGCCGATCTGAAGCACAGACAGAAGGGTGAAATTGTGTGGCAAAAATTCAGTTAATTAACTGGCTGCATGTATTATGTTAATAGTGTAACCAGAGTTAGAATTACAGTCTGGATCTCTGCTTTGTGCTCAGTTTGTGGGTGCAAGAAGATACAATACAGAAGCCATCATTATGCAGACCCCTCTGCTCTTTCAAAGAATTTAAAGAATCAAGCAATTGATATTAAAGATTGTCTGGTGATACTATGACACAAATTTGCTCTTTCAGTCCTCCTGAAAGGGGAAATTTAAAGATTAAATTAGAGTCAGACCCAAATGCTTTTGGATCTTAGTGGGATTTTCCCGTTTTATACAAATTTTTAAATCTATCCCATAACCAATTTTACAACAGTTAATCCCTTCTTGTAATTTCAGGATCCAGTATATAAATATCCTCCAGTATCAACTGCTCAGCAAACCTGTACCTTCAAGGAGGTTGTGTATGAAACAGTGAAGATCCCTGGCTGTGGTGACCACCCTGAATCTTTTTACTCATACCCAGTAGCTACAGAATGCCACTGTGACACCTGTGACACTGACACCACTGACTGCACTGTCAGGGGCCTGGGGCCATCCTACTGTTCCTTCAGCCACAATGGAAGTAACCAGTGAGGGGCACTGGGGACAGCAGTTTGGCTCTAAATGTCCCCTGCTAAGTAAAGGCACTGTTCAGGTTTCAGTGGAAGGTAGCAGGCTATGCTAGTTAGAAACTACCAAGACTGAAACAAAGATTTTTAAGGCCAAAATGAAGAGCTACCGACTGAACTCATCTTCATGCCTTCCTTACTTAACCCATCAGTTGCCTTAAAAGCATTTTCACAGGTCTTTGAAAAATGCTGCTTGCAATCTCTTCTGCCTTTTCCCCCCTTCCTCTTTATCACAACTTCGTTATTTATATTCCTATATTTCCACTGCCTGGTTCACATAGATTATTCTATGCTATTCTGTGCTCTCAAAAAGTTCCCAAGTTTCAAGTATTTAAAATCTCCTGCTTTTCATTTCTCCTAAGCTCACACTTATTTTTCAAAGCCTTGCTGCTGGTTGTGGCTCTATTAGCTGGACTGTAAACCTCTCTCAGCTGAAATCCTGACTGATTTTGCTTTGCATTACGTTTCACATAGTCATTATGCTCTGCCAATAATAACAGCAGGTATACTTAAGAGCCGAAATCTGTTTTCAGATGTTGAATGCCACCTGAATTCTTGTACTTTCAGTAAGGCTTGTTAGCTCACACCAACACAAGTAACATGAACTCTGCTTTGTACCTGGCTAACTTGAAAAAATCATCAACTCTCTATTTTCACCTGAGTGCAGAATGTAGTGAACAGAAATGCTTAGCATTATTTAACACAGGAGGCTCAAAAATTGTTTAGGGATGCATCCAGAGGCACCTGACCCCAGTAGTGCAGACATGGTGTGCTAATGTGCCTTGAGAGCCGACCACAGGAGTCCCTTCAGAGAATGGAAGTTTACAGAACCCTGCAGCAACCTAACTCTGCAAATGCCAGGATGAAGTTGGGGTGGTCTGGAAATGAGCTGGAGGACTGACTGAATAAGCATGGGAAATTAACTCATGTTATTGTGAGAATTCTATGAAGCCTACAGAATGAGTTCCTATAGGGAAAATGAAATTACATTGTTCTTCACCAGAAAAATCCCCTGCACAGGCACAGAATGGAAATTGTGGATCCTGCAGCAGTTTGGCACTGCAGGCTTGGTGGTACCAACACCATCCAACAGCATCCCAGTGCTGCAGGAAAGTTGGAGCACAAGAAGCACAGCCTACAAGACACAATCTACCTCCACCACTCAGCTCTACACAGCAGGGCCTTGGCTGAGTGGTTATTTGTGACAGAACTTCAGAGCGTGGAAAAAAACCAGAGAAAACCCCCACAAGAAGAACAAGGATGGAGAGAGGCCTAAAAAATCATCTTAGGAGAAAAAGATTTATTTAAATGTTGTCATTTTGCTTAGGGGGAACATCAGCAGAATATTTTACATGCTTGAAGACTGTTACACGGAGGAGAACAGTTCAGTTCTCCATGTCCAAAGAGAGCAGAACAACTGATGAAAGATTCAGAGTAGCCACCAGCAAATCTTCTGAAAGCTACAGACACTGCAATAAGCTGTCAGGGGCTGGGAGAAGGAGGGAGGGAATGAAGGAAGGGTGCAAGGGCTGTGGGTGAGTGACCAGCACAGGTCTTCCAGAACACCTGGAACCTGTTGGGAATGACAGGCAAAGCTCATTCAGTGCGAGGCAGGGCAATGAAGGAGGAGTTATCTGGCATGTCTGCTTTTGAGAGCCTTACAGATGTGTTTATTTAAGGAAGATTTGCCTGAATCTACTCTGAATCTATCTTGTAATAGATAATAGATATTTTAACTTACATAGTTTTTAGCTTTTTTTTACTAAAAGGTTTTCATTCTCTTGATTTTATTTATAAGATTTATATGCATTTTCTTTGGTTTAGTGGAGCTTTAAAAGTGGTAAAGTAATGGATAAATCACATTGAGGTTCACTAATTTCAATTTTAAACATGAGTAAATTTCAGTTAAAACTAAGCATATTATTAATATCAGCAATTATCCATTCTAAATTAGAGAATTTTGAATTGCAATTGCAAAACAAAGTAGCCTGTAGAAAAAAAAGTATGTAAAAAAAAAGTATGTTTTCAAAATAGATCTGTATTGTCTCTTGTGCATTTTCAAATAATAAAAAAATTATTACACTTCTGTTATGAGTCTTCATAAGCCAATTTTAAAACTTAAGGGTCAACTTGCCAACTTTATTATGCTTTAAATTGCATGTTTTTTTCTTCCTCTCATAATTTTTCCCATGTAACTAGTACAGCCACTAGAGCCATATATGCATTATATGACCAAATTACATCAAATATTTTAGCCTGACCCAGTAATATAATAATGAAATATTACATAGTAGCAATATTAGAGTAGTATGGATAAAAATGGTAATCATTAATATCTTATTTAAATTACAGACATTAGAAGCTGTCCAGAGCTGTGCTCACATCTGTCACAAATTTTATTGAATGCAAAACCTAAAATCATCCAGGTCTCATTTCATCCATCAGACAAATGCACCACACATTTTTATTTTGCAAGCAAAACTACTCAGAACCTCCTAAAGAAGGCTGGTCATACTTGAAGGTATCTTAGCCTACATTTGATAGCTTGTAAGACAGACTTTATCTTTTTTAAAGTTCAATTTCCATTGACTGCCCAATAATTTCATTAAACTTAGCTTTACATCATGTTTCTGCAAAGTTTTAGTGAAGGTACACACGTGCCATGAATATCAGTACAGTCTGGCATCCAAATCTGCTTCTTATTATTTAAGAAAAATATTTAAGAGGTCATTTTTGTGCTTGTTGTATAGCTCTGTCAAGATGAATAAATGGGAGTTCTGTCGAAAGGTGAAAGTCTCAGTATGATATGCTACTCAAAAAAGTAAATTGGTGGATAAGCTTTTAGAAATGTTTCTAATACAGTCAGAAGTAGATTTTTAAGAACTCCTACCATGGGCCTAACATTTTTTATTGAAATCGATAGGTAAAATCAATAGGTTTTACAGGCAGACAAGGAAACACACATTCCTCACCCTGAAGCCATTAATAAAGCATCAACAGAATTAACATCACTGCACATTTGTCAGTGCTCAGCTATTACTCCCAGCCTAAAGAAATTATTCCTCCTAGCTAAAAACAGGCCTGCACTTGCTTTGTTAATTTATATTTTATATATACAGATATATTATATATTATATAGATTTTTTTAATATATTACATACATTATCAGTATTCTCTTATATATAACATATATTATATTCATGTTTATTTATATTTTTATTTATATTTATTTATAAATACAGCCCATATAACTGGGCTCTATTTTTTTGCCTTTTTTTTCCTTTTTGCTTATTTTTTATTTTTTCTTATTCAGTCAGACTGTATTTTTTACCACAAGCAAGAAATGTAAATCTCCTCTCCCTGTATTAAGCCAGCTGATGAATAAGAACTCACCAGTCATTCACAAATCCTCAGACAAATCCAGCCTGAAGCAGAGGTAATTACAAATGGTGGGAAACAGGAATGTTTTGGGAAAAAAAGAAGCAGCAGCAGCACTCTTGGCTTGCACAGGTCAGCTTGGGGCTGCACTTAACTTGGATATTTAAATGGCAAGGGAAAGTCACTTCAGCGTGGTGTTCACATGCAATGCTCCTCTTTCACCCTCCCAACTCAGCAAGGGCATTCAGTTTTGTCACTGTGCAATATTTAGCCACATAGTTTATTTTTATTTTAAAAATAGCCCTGGCATCTTAATTGAAACTAGCGAAAAACCCGAAAAAACAGCTGAACAGCTAATCTGAAAAATTCATTTGCAGAGGGCAGCCTTGAGCTTAGTGGCTCCCCTGCACTCAGGCAATGGGATCTATAACATTTTTCTGGGTCTCTCATGTTTCCCTTCAATTTATGTTATTACCATTAGCTATCACAGCCTTGGTCTGTCAGCATGACTTATGCTGATAGACATTACAGCAGCTCACAAGGCTACAGTCTGGGAAATAGAGCAAGTGAGACTGCAGCAGGGTTAGAGAAAGGACATCCTTTTGAGAAATCAAATGTCAGTGTTGCATTCTGTGTAGGTGGGGAAGGCAAAGAATTAGCCACCTATGCTTCACAGCAATTAACCATTGGACCTCTAAATTCAGTGAAAAAATATGGCAGGTGGGTCAGATATATTCCTTGCACTGGGTTATTCTGTGTGAAACAGACATTATATAGAAACATTATTCCCTGTAACAAAGTAAAGCTAATTATGGACCTAATATTTGGATTACATTCAGCTGTAGTTGCATTCATTGAATAATGCTAGAGACAGATATATTATCAAGCCCTAAAATATGTCCTTCTTAAAATGGCAATCTTCAAGACATATAAATTAATCTAGCACTACCCAATGGCTTGTAGACAAACCTTTGAATAATTTAACCAATCCAGTTTTCCTCTTCCTTCACGTGTTTACATTTAAAATCTCATTCAAAAATTATCTTCTCTGTCATGACCTCCTTCTCTCATTACACAATATTGGCAAGACTTGATGCTTTTGTGAATGCTGTGGAAAATCCCAGTCAAAATAATATGATAACAAAGAAAAATAGTCAGCAGGTAGAAAGAAAATTTTTGGTTCAGACACTGTCAAAATTTATGTCACAGTGAGGCAATGGGTTATAGACCAGCTCTGTGCCCCAAACAGGAATTTTCAATCACCAAAATCTAGGTATTATAAATTGGGCTATGCACTTCATCCAGCCAGTGATCAAGAAATAATACAGCCAACCTGAAATTAATTCTGCTCCCAGTTCCAAAATGTAGACAAGACAGTTCTGCCCAGCTCTGGCCCAATAAGTTTAATTTCTTTCCTATATGATTTCTCCTTTTGGTGAAATATCTTGACCATGATGAAAATTCTAAAGTGAGCTAACACTTTAGATGGGAGATTGATTTGCACTGTGGGTGTGAACAGACAGAAACTTCACCTCCCTGGCTTTGTCTACACAATCTAGCCTTAAGACAAGCAGATCCTGATCTACA